ATTTTAAATAGAATTTCTCAAAGTGGAATTTTCATTACTTTTCATTTGCGTATTCATTTTGATTCTCGTTCTCCTTTAACGATTCTTATGCTTTTGTTCTTGGGCATCGACAGTTTTCATTGTTTGTTGTGGCTTTTCAATTGGTTTTCCTTCGCTTTGCCTTTACATTTCTCTACTTTCACCATTTTTTATTTTTTCTTTTTTTTTTCTTTTCTTTTCTTGCTCTTTAGTTGGAAAAACACTTTTTTACAGCAGATTTTCAACTTTGATTAATGCTCGGAAAAAGTTGGTCATTTCTTATTTGCATTGTTGTGTCAGTGTAAGTGGTGAAAGGGGAGGGGGTAAGATATTTCTCCTATCTTTATAGTCGTAAAGGTATTGTTGCACTGAGTTTTGTGATTTCATTAAAATTTTATTCTTAATTGAATGGAAAATATGATTTAAATTAAGCTGAGGTTAATTGCTACGAAGAACGTTGCTGTCATAGTGGATTCCTTGGTTTTCCTCTTAAAAATTTCGTTAAAATCATTTTACTGGTAGCACATTTATGTAAGAGCTTAAGTATTTCATTTTAATTCAATGTAAATTAGTTATACACTCATGCATATAAAGCATCAATTAATTTTAATTTGTTATTAATTGCTCGATTTGCTTGGCAAATTGCCTACCACATGGCGTATGAGTAATGCGTACTTCGGTATGTGCAATTCGGTGTTAAGTGTTATAAGACGCATATCAATTATAGTTGCAACTATAAGATGTGGTAGAACTAATACTATTTCAAAGTTAATAAATGAATTTTAAAATCTGAAAAATATATTCAAAGTATATTCAAGATCTATGATGAAGGGTATTGAGCATTAGTCAAACAAAAGCCATAATGAAAACGTTTAAAAGTTAATGAATGCATTTTTAAAACTAATACATATATTCAAAGATCTATGATGAAGTGTGTTGAGCAATAATCAAGCAAAAGCAATAATAACAAAAGATATAGCAGAGCAGGACGAGCTTGGTCCCATGTCCTCCTATAGTCCCGAGCAGATGAACTCTCGATAATTAATTCAAAAAGTTATGTATTTTTTTATATTCTTTTTAAAGATGTTAGTGTAAATATTACCTACTGAGGCTTTATTCCGATTAAAGAAGCTTATAAAATATCACTTAAACTTGTTAATTATTTGGTGTAGTGAAGACTATCAAGACTATGCAGCAGGTCGAAGTGCGATAACGAGGGGTTAAAGCCAATCAAGTAAGTCTTAATACTGATTTCTCTAACAGCTACACAATTTCCTTATTGATTAAAAATTACTCCCCATCTCATTAGCTACTAACAGTCACTTATGCTCAGCATTTGTATGGAATTTAAAATCATTAAGTTAGTTATTAATATTTTTTTATTCATACCTTAATACATGCTTAAATATTCTTACATTAGATAAAAACAAATTTTTGATCACTGCTTCGTAGTAACATGCAAATCAGTAGCATTTCACTTCTGGGGTTACAGGTATATCTCTGACCTGTTGTATTATAATCTTCTTACTTATATTCTGACAGTGTCGACCAGGAAATCTTAAAGTGATAATAAGTACGAGAATGATGAGCAAATGATTAAATATTTAGCTCACATAAGAGATATAACTTACTTAAGAAATAAGGTGCGAAATTGAAACGGTCTTTGTATGAGAAGCTAGGACCGTGGATTTGGAGTCATCAGATTCATTGCAAGGTTACTTTTGTCGTCACATCTTTTTCTATATGCGTTTGATTGATGCTGGATGGCAGTGCTTACTATATGGTCTTCAATATGAGATACTGAGGACGAAGAAACTAATACTCAACATGCTAGGAACTCATCTTCTACACGATATTTATGTACCACCATCAAATTCATTGTGACGCTTTGAGTCTTTATTGTGTGGTGTACTATTTGAGATGGTGATATATTATATTTAAAGCCGTCATATTCATTTTCACTTCTACTTTGCTATTGCTTAGGTCATTTACAAACAATATTGCGCTTGCTGTGGACTCATTTTCCTGAGAATTTTTACTCAAACCATCAAATTCAATGCGACGATATTTTTGTGATCATTTGCTCGTATTAAGCACATAAGTTGGATTTGAGTCTTGATATCATTGTTTGCTGTCAGTAATTTTTAGACATTATTTAGCTTACTATTTGGAACAGTAAAAATCCAAACGATTGTTTTGTCATACATTCGTCATCATAAAAAATTTGAGGATTGGCTTCATGCAATACTGTAAACATATTTGTCACGATATTGTTGGTGTTGTGTACCTTCGGGGTCTTCACAGAGCATATGGTGCATAGTTGTCAATTCTGGCTGCTGTATTAATTGTATCACAATATTTGGTGCAGTTACCTGTAAATTATAATATAAACTTATATATTTTTTAAAATCCCATTAATATTCTTTGAGTATTAATCAAGAACTTTCATTTAATATTAAAAGTATTCAACAGAATTAAGTCAAAGATATGTGCAGTTATTGTTTGTGACCACACAAATTTGAACTTAAGTTTCAAATAATTTTATTTAATTATTCATTTTTATTATTAAATAAATTCAATTCAAAATTCATTAAAATTTATCATTAGCATTAAAAAAGCCAGTGGCATAAGTAATAAATTTCTACTTTAACCCAAAAAGCTAATTAACTTTCCTTTCACCAATTCCACAAAATCAGTGCTTAAACATCACATATATCCCAAAATATCGCCAACATTATAAACTGTGCGAGTCATTTGTTAATTTCACCATCACAGATGACTGTACAGATATCAGATAATATATGTGTGTATTTGTAAAATGAATGTGCTTAAACATTGGTACGAGTAAGCTCAGTTTAATGACCGCACATTTAATTTGATCATTTTAATTACAAGGAGTCGAACAACTGCTAATGCGGTTATAATTCTCAAAACAGATTATAATTGATTGTGCAGGACCTAATCTGATGTGTAAAAACATAATTTCTATTTAATGCTATCGAGCACACAGGATAACTGCCAGGAAAGGACTCTTGTAATCAATTTATGAATGCGAGCGAATAAAATAAAATGCCGGATTAGCAATTCACCAAATAAAATGGCCAAAAATGTATGTGGGAACACACGCCGTATGAGTGACTTTTTTGTAGTTTCCGCGTATGAGTTTTCATTGTTTGCGTCATTCTGTGTTTTTTTTTATTCATTATTATTTCCATATTAACGTTGAAGCACAGAATTTGGAACAATTTCGATTTCGCGCTTGAATGCGAGCTAATGTGAAAAAAAATACATATGGAATAATAATATGATAAATATTAAGCTGAGCTTTTTGTTTCAATAAGGTACGATACGTTGCAGAAAAAAATAGCAATGAGGCCGTCGATAATAATGATTGCAGTTGTTGTGTATTCGCTTAAGTTAATAGATAAAATTGTTTATTTATTCAGTATTAAGTTTTTAGTAATCATTTATTAAGGCTATAACTCGTGATAAATTCATGAATAGGCACATTAGTACAATATGTACAGGCAAGCGGTTGGTAAGCTTAGTAGTTGTCTGTCTTTTAATACCTATATAATGGTTTCTCTGAAACTATGTATGACGAAATGCAAACAGTGAATTTCACTTTTCACTTATGGACTTACCATATGCAATCAATAACATCTAAGCAATTCATTCGACTTGGTTTTAAACTCTCTCACCCACAGCATTGAGTTAAAGGAGACAATTTTGTGTAAGATATACAAATTTTGTGAAAAAACTTTTTGCACCCATTATAAAATTCTACTAACTTGTATATAGCATAATTGACATTTTAGCTTAAGACTTACCTTTAAAAAATTCAGCTCCCTTACTTTTAAGGTAGTCTTACTTTCTTCGCCTTTATCGTCGATGGTCTTTATGAAGTGCAAACTTTATTGAAATTAGTTTCCAAAAACTTTTCCAATTTCATAGAATTGAGCGGCAGTAATAAATAACCCAATGATTTTGTCATATTCAACAAAAACTCTTCTTAGAACAAAGAATAAAATTTATTTAAGCTTGCAGTTATCATTGCTAATGCTCTATCTTATAACCAATAGCACTCAAGACTCTTCAAATGTATGTAATGATTCACTACTATCCAGCAAAGGAAGTCGATATCGTATCGTGAGAATTTTCTTGCCCTATTCAATTAATTGGTCAGTACTCTTCAAATTTATGTAATGATTCACTATTATCCGACAAAGGAAGTCATTATCGTATCATGACAATTTTCTTGTCCTATTCATTTTTCAAATTTTCGCAAGTGTTCACTAATATTTGGGAAAGGAATGCTCTTCGTACCGTGAAATTCTTTTTGTGCTATCGTATTCCTTTACTAAATTTTTATATGCAAATTCAGACTTTGGCTTAAGTACAGAATTAAGTAAGGACTTCTTTTTAGATTCAGACATATTAAATTCGTTAGTTGATGCACCATCACGTCTGGTAGCTCTGCTAGAAGCACGTCGCCATCTCTTCGTGTGTTCAGCTGATTCCTTTGTCTGATTCTCGTAGTAATTATTTAGTTTTTTCATATCAGGTGGAGACATACTGTCCACTAGAGCTTCAGTTTTAGCATGTCTAACTTGAATCTGCATGTCTTTAATATTGGATACATAATTTCTACCGAGCTGAGGTGATGATAGATGCTTCTTTATAGCAAGTAATCTATTCATTTTTAAAATTTTTAATTAAGCCAAACTAGAATTTTGAATATTTTAAAGGAAACGGAATTTGAAACAATTTCAGAATAAAAAAATTTTAATTTGAAATTTTATTTACTTACAATTAAGTTTATGGTTTATAATTTCATTTATAAACAATATTTAATTTTTCTGGCCTACTTCGTATCCAATTTCCGTATCTAACTTTAATACAAATTAATACTCTCACTGACAATGTTTTCAATATCAGTGCTGAAAAAGATATATACATGAAGTGCCTCATCTGCTTTATAGTCAATATAAGTCACCAACTGAGTTCGAAAAACAATCAAAAACTTTGAACTGCGCTACTTCTTTGTATAGCAGTCTATCCTCGTTTGTAGATAATGAAATTATTTTCACCTTGAAACACAGTAGTAAAGAAGATTCTAACATATATTACTGATTTGGCATCATACACATGAGTTTAATTTCTGCTCATAGATGGAGTAAAACATTTAACACTAAGATCATAAAATTCAATTAGTGCTAGAAGTCAACCGAGCATCAGTGAGATACTGCTTGTTAGTTCAGAAATCAGTCCAAATATTTTAAGAAAGTTTTGTCAAATGACACAGGTCACTTCTACCCAGCCACATACGATGTAAGAAAAATTCAAAAATAATTCGTCAGTCATCGACGTATTCAATAATGGCATCATCTGCTTACACTTCTTAGAGACGTACATTACTTCTTCAAGCCAAAAGTAATGTAAGTGTTATTCTCAATGGCCCCCGATACCGAGGATTGTTAAATAATTTTTTGTATAAATATGGTCTGAAAGCCCTTTGGTTGTATTTGAACGGTGCCTCCTCTACTGCTACTACTAAAAAAGCCATCACTTTTTAAAAAAAGAAATTGATGAAACAGTTTGAATGATTTTATATCATTGTACTATTATAATGGGGGGATATTTAAAATCGTTATTTTAGATATCGACAATTCAGTGTCGAATTTAGTTTTGGAGTTCTGCACTGAACATTCAAGATATAACTTCAAATTTTTGGGAAAATTAGTAGGAAATGTACCATCAAGAAACAATATTGAGGCTTATTTTAAGATATGGTCTGAAGTTAGTTTTATGACATTGTCTTTATCTTTATCTTGTCTTCTTTTATCTATTTATCTATCCGTCTTCTATATTTTCTCATTATCTTCAATTATTAACCAATGTGGGTGCTTATCTCATTTAGTGTTGAAAAATCTGATTCTTTGAGTTTCGATAGGGGATTTAAAAAATATAAAAAAGCTGTAGCAAGTCATATAATAAGATGGTTATGGGAATTGTTACTGCAACTAATATACAATAAAGAACTACTACTCTGTAAACAATACATAATTCTCACCATTTTGAAATTTTCGTTACTTTTTGACCCGACATATTTCTTGGTTATATTAACCAATTAGTTATTTAGTTTTCGAAAGAAATCCTAGATAGACATGTTAAAGTTCATCATTCTCATATAATTTTACTTATTTAATTAATTGACTATAGCAACCCATAAATGCTTTTGACTAGTACTAATATGATCATTTCTTCTATCCACTATTACAAAAAATTATGGAATCAAAACTGTTTTCTTTGTTATTCCTTCTTTCATTTTACTTGACCTAAGCTATAGCAACCCTTTTCAGGTTTTAATCTAATACATCTCCAATCGCCTTCATCGCTTGTCCAACTTCTCCAGTCTTCTACAACAAGCGAGGTTAGTGTTATCTAAAATTCATCAAACCATTGGAGACACGTTCTTCTTCTTTATCTTTTTCGTCTGACTGCCTGTCTGACTAACTGTCATTTTATACTGGAACGACATTTTCTTTTAACTCGGTCTTGTCAACTTAGCGTATCCGTTAACTTTAATCAACAATTCAATATATTTGGCAATGTTTAGAATAAGCTTCATGTCATTTTCACTTAATGAGTTCATAGCATTTAAGCACAATTATCCACTGTGATTTGTGCTTTAATTAAAACATTTTATTAACTTGGCTAACCTTAACGTCACAATGAAGTCGCTACGCTAATGAAGCAAAAACGTTTTTTTTGCACTCATTTTAAAAAGTTTATAACTTTTTCGCAGGGAACTAAACTTTTGCGAAATTCAGTAACAAAGTTTTTAAGTTAATAAATAATAAATTAAGTTAAGCTACCATTTAACAGGCAATATTTTTTTAATTTTTCTCGAATTTAAATTTCATGTGCTAAATACTAAATTATTTATGAGCAAAACGAAGCGAAAAAAAAAACTGCCCAAATTGTGCCAAAAAACGGATGGAAAAATGGAAAAATAAACTACAAAAAAAAAAAATGGCTTACATTACAAAGCTTACACTAGTGAAGTAAAGTTGAAAATGGCGTAGATGAGAAAAGGAAGTGCAGAACTTACCAACTTGATACTTGGTCAAAATAACAAAAGAAGTGCCTACTTTCAGGCGTTAAAATCATTATTTGGCTCATTAGCGTTTCACACAGATTTACTTGTTGTTCATATCTCTAGAATTTCTTTGCTTTTCTTTTTTAATTCTATTTTATTTTATTTTGTTTTTAATTTTTTTGTTTTATATTTTCTTTTATTTCATTGTTATATGTGAGCAGATGTGTGTGTGTGTGTGTATATTTTGTTTGGTTTTCTGCATTCACGGCAGGTTTCATTATTCGCAAAATGGCAGTTACTTTCATTCTTCCTTTTGGGTTAGTGTTTGTTATCTTTGCTTGTGTATGCAAAATTTTATTGTTGTTTTTGCTTTGTTCGTTGCTTCCGGTTTTAGTGGAACATTTACAAGAGCACGTGAAATGGTTGAAGCATACATTTTATGCAGGACAACGTTTCCACGAAATTAGGTTAATTGTTTTTACATACCTTCACAGATCTCACCTACATACACACACAGTATAAACACACACACACATACACATACACAGATGCTTGAATATTGTGAACTATACAGTATTGGATTGGATTATTTTGCAAATTTCATTTCATTGCAGTGATTTTGTGAAATTGTGTTAATTACTTTCGCAGTTTACACAAATTCAATTACAAATTAATTTCAGAAAATATTGTAATAAGTAGATTTATATAATTGCATCTCTCTGTATGCCGGTGTATGCTGGTGTATTCCATTTGTAACAATATTACATTCATTTCATTATACAATTACTTACAATAAGAAAGTTCGTTTCAGATTTTATCCCTGAAGATTTATGTGTATTTCATAAAATATCATTTGTGTTTAACTTCAACTTAACTTCATTTATTTGATGTAATTTAGATATGAATAGGTAATCTCATTATATGATCTGCAAAACGTGTGACTTTGTACCATAAAATGACAGTTTTCAGTTTTAATTATTTCATTTAATTTATTTCCATACCTGATGGCTTCAAAACGCCAACAGTTTCTATCGTTCGTTCAGTAATTATATTCAGCATTTTATAAGGAGAATTATTTTTTAATGGAACAATTATTTTTTTTTTTTTGTTTTATAAGAAAACATTTTTTTTTGTTAACGAAAAAATTTTTTTTTATAAAAATAGAAGAATTTTTTAATAAAAGAATTATTTTTTTTGTTTTTTTGTTAATTGAAAAATTATATTTTGTTTTTTCATAAGGACACATTTTTTTTTTGTTACTAAAAATATTTTTATTTTTTTTGTTTTATAATAAATTGTAATTCAACGTCAATTATGACGATAGTAACTATATTACTTGATAAAAACTATTGTATTATACAAGAGAGGTTTCGAAAAGTACACAAAATTGATATATCCGACACTAATATTTGTAGATAGTGTTGTGCTGTGGAATAGTCTATGGAACATCTGATCACCAACTGTGATGCATTAGGCCACAGAAAAAACAAAATTTTAGGAGCATACCAACTAGAGGATGAAGACATTCCTAAATTCCCTGCAAAGGAGCTGGTTCGATTCCTCGAGCTACTAAACGTTTAAATACAAAGCGATGCACAATAGATCAAGCTGGTCGCAGTACATAGGGGCCTTAGCCTAACACAAAACCCACCAATAACATTGACCATTAATTATGTTTTATAAGTAATTTTTTTAATTATTGAAATAGTGAGTTTTTTTTTTTGGTTCCATAAATAAAAATTTTTTTTTGTTAAAAGAAATTTTTTTTTTGTAATAGAATAATTTTTGTTTTTTGTTAATAGAATAATTTTTTTTTAGTTTCATAAACATTTTTTTTGGTTAATGGAAAATTATTTATTTGTTTTGTTTTATAATAAATTGTGTTTTAATATCAATTATGACGGTAGTAAATATTTTTGGTAATAGAAACTTTTGTATATTGTTAGAGAGGTTTCGAAACGTAGTAAATTACAATAACAAGAAATTGTTTCACATTTTAATTAATTAATTTAATTAATTAATTTTTAAAATTATTTATTTTTTTGGTTCCCTAAGAAAAAAAATTTTGTTTTGTGGATGGTAATATTATCAATTCTTTTGTTTAATAAGAAAATTTGTTGTTTTGTTAATTGAAAAAAATATTAATTGAAAAAGATTTTGTTTTGTTAAAGAAATTAAATTATTTAAATTATTTTTTTCTTTTATAAGGAAATAATTTTTTTTTGTTAATGCAGAAATTATTATTTTTATTGCTTTGTTTTTCATTTAATTGTGCTTTTAACTACCAGAAAAAAAATGTTAAAAATAAACCTATATTTTCAGATTTAAAATTTTATTTCCTTTCCATTCAGAAATAAAATATCTGCGTGTTGTGAAAAGAAATTATGCAAATTGCTGCTTTTATTATAAACAAAAGCATTAAAATTTGCTTTCTCTGAAATGAATATGAACGAAATGAATTTATGTTTTTATTCAGAGCGATTTAATTGCAAATTGTCTCATTTACTACAAAGAATAAACATCATAAAAGCAAAATGTATTTATACGATATACATTTCAAAGATATTAAATATAAAACAATAGCAAATAGAGATAATGTTTCGCGAAATGAATTTAAATTCCACTAAAAAGTTACTTTTTGTTATATTTAAGTTCTAAATAGATT